GAAACAAAGTAATGACGTGTAATACAGTGGTGAGAACGTGCAACGAGACGATAAAGACGTGTAATACAACGATTACACGTGAAACACAGTAAGGACGTGTACTACAGTGGTGAGAACGTGTAACGTAACGATAAAGACGTGTAATACAACGACTACACGTGAAATACAGTAAGGACGTGTAAAACAGTGGTGAGAACGTTTAACGAGACGATAAAGACGTTTAATACAACGATTAAACGTGAGACATAGTACGGACTTGTAAATACAGTGGTGAGAACATAAAGACATGTAATACAACGGTTAAACGTGAAACATAGTAAGGACGTGTAATACAGTGGTGAGAACGTGCAACGAAACGATAAAGACGTGTAATACAACGGTTAAACTTGAAACACAGTTCAAACGTGTAATACAGAGTTGAGAACGGGTAACGAAACGATAAAGACGTTTAATACAACGGTTAAACGTGAAACATAGTAAGGACGTGTAATACAGTGGTAAGAACGTGTAACGAAATGATAAAGACGTGTAATACAACGGTTAAACTTGAAACACAGTTCAAACGTGTAATACAGAGTTGAGAACGGGTAACGAAACGATAAAGACGTGTAATACAACGGTTAAACTTGAAACACAGTTCAAACGTGTAATACAGAGTTGAGAACGGGTAACGAAACGATAAAGACGTGTAATACAACGGTTAAACGTGAAACACAGTTCAAACGTGTAATACAGAGTTGAGAACGTGTAACGAAACGATAAAGACGTGTAATACAACGGTTAAACGTGAAACACAGTAAGGGCGTGTAATACAGTGGTGAGAACGTGCAACGAAACGATTAAGACGTGTAATACAACGATTACACGTGAAACACAGTTAAAACGTGTAATACAGTGGTGAGAACGTGTAACGAAACGATTAAGACGTGTAATACAACGGTTAAACGTGTTACATAGCGGTAAAGACGTGAAACAACGGTTGCTACCTAGATGTTACTTGATGTTGATCATGGGTTTTTTTGTATTTAAGATCATTTTTATACATGCAGCCGTTCTGTTTGATAAATTCAGACTTTTATGAAGCAAAAAAGCAAGTCATCGAAGTAAGGAGCACAGTTGAAAACCCAGGGTGAGCCTCCATCAGGTTCCTTCAGTTTGGTACTGAAGTGTATGGTTGTGTACATTGTGAACTAAAATTATCAATTTTTGAGGAAAAAATGTTCATTATTGTTCAAAAGATATATTTAGTTCTTCAGAATCCACATTCCATTGAATCTACATTTGTAGTATACTGTGTCGCAAAATTACAGTAACCCTGATTTAAGAATGACAGTAAGACTGCTTTGGTTGAGCAATTATCAGAACCGGCGAAACAACCACATAATTATCATATAGGTCGTTGAGTGTGGTTTGGACATAAGGGTCAAGTCAGACTTGTGTGGTCTTCACTTAGGATTTCTAGATGATCCCGGATGGACCTTACAGATTTGACCAACTCTAAATGTTTACCGTATTTAGTATGATCTCATATTGACCCATTGTCTGGCATAGTCTTCCAAAGAACTCATAAGTTCATCCGCATCTTGAAATCCACGTTCCAGTTGATTGTAGGAATCTCTCGATACATTCGAGCCTCAATGAAAAGGTCTTGTGGTTTTATATTATAGATACCATTTAGATCGCCATGTCACTTCATGCCCAGCTGGACACTTCGGTATTCTCTTCTGGTTTATTTTAAGGGGATGCAGAACAAATGCATGCTGAAGATTCTGCTGAAGTAGCGGTTGTATGTAGCTAAAACCTTTGGTAGCAATGGGCTGTAATTAATTGTAAAACTAATTTGGGCACTTTTGTACCGGAATTATAACGGCCCATTATTTAATTCAACGGTTAAGACTCATACAGTTTAAAAACAAACAGAAAAAGAAGATTAAAACTCTTATTATGAATTAGACAAAGCCTGTCACAGAGTTTTTAAATATCGTAGTATTGATTATATCGGAAACAAGCGCTGCAGATTTAGCGTCCTAGACCATAGATGTTTTTACTTAAAAAGACAAACATTTCCTATTCATTTTGACACAGTTTTTAAAAAGTGTCGTGTATCAAGACGTATAATACTGCGGCTAATACTGTCATACAACGGTTTACATTGTAATACGGCGGCTAATACTTTAATATGTCGGTTTACACTGTAATACAGGTTTAAATACAACTTATTACAACTCATTAATCACTCATCTTTGACCGGATACTAACGCAGGGGTTCAGTGCCTGGAGAAAACCCGCGCAGTTTGGCATGTGACCCAATACCTTTTGACGTCTGATTTCGGGAATCAAACACCAGCTGCCTCGGTAGAAGGCGAGTGCGTTATCCACTGCGCCACCTGACCAAACATCGTTCAGTCGAATATCGTTAATTGCGATATGTAGTTAAGGACTTCCCACCCTTCGTAATACACATGTGTTTCTTGTCGTATTTTCGTGTCGTCATTTCCGTTTTGCGTATCGGGCATTCCATTACCGTAGTGTAAATTATAGTAACACCGGGTAAACAATTGTGCACGTGCGTGACGATGATATATATGTCAACACCCGATATCGAGACATAACTCGGAAATGTGTAATCAAACGTACTTCAGAAATAAAGCTTATGATACAAAGACATTAATGAACTCACGGGAAAACACTGACATACGATCAGACGACTTCAAGAAGGTCGTATAGGAGGCGCATGGAATGCAGACTGATGTGTTTTGTTTACCGATCTCACCTTTACCACGGACTTGGATAACTAATTCCGTGCCTGAACGTATTCGTCCTTCTGTGTTTAAATTGATAGAGCTACTGTCTAGCAAAAAAAAATAAACTTATTAGAAATTTAAGTAAGTACTTGATTCAGGCAACTGTTAAGAGAAGTCGTATATTATGAAATATAAGCTGTATCAAATTCTTGCTATAAACTTTTTGTTCCTGTATAATGCGATTGAGATCTATGTCTTTTATTTCACAATGAGTTATAATCTCATTTCATTATATAATATATAGTACTCGTTCTACCTTTATGTTGAGGTTGTATGATTGACTTTGAAGTTTTGTTATTTCCTTGAAATTTGGTTAGATTAAGGCTTCATTTGTACTATTTCCTAAACGACTAAATTATGCTTCATAAGAGTCCGCTAAGTTACTTTAGGAAAACCTTAAAGTTTTCCCAAACTTATGCCAATTTCATAATTTGTAAATATTATGTATGAAATTGAATCTATTGCATATCTTCTCCGCCATTGTACAAGATATTTGTAAAGTATTTATCTATATGTATATTTCTGTACGCCTATATGCAATGTGCATTTGGTAATAAATTGAATTGTATCACGTGCTAACAGTAGTTCACAAGCTCTTGGTCGCTGCGACTTTTGTTGTCGAGTGAGTAACGCTCTGTCAGATAAATCGGTTCACAAATGCAATTACAATAACTCTGTTAAAATAGTGGTTTGTAAAATATCAAGATCCCTATAAAAATGCAAGTGCATGTGCGTGCACGTAATACCGGCATATCATGCGATAGCCTATGGCTTCATATTACCTGACATGTACATACCATGCGTAAGCAGGCTATGGAATGATGTCCAAAGTGTACATGATTGAGAGTAATTTGGTTCCATAAAAGAACAGTAAATTGACAATTAAATATAGTAACTTAATTTATTTCCGTCGTTTTTGGTATAGTAAAAAAAAAGGTAATTGTATAAAATCTATCCCTCTGCAAAAAGTTCCGATTTTTTTTCAAGGTAGACAACTCTCATCAGGATCAAAACTATTGTAAAATGTAAAATAAATAAATTATAAAGACTTTGTGTGTATTTGGTTCAATTTTTCACTCTTTTTGTATGAAACTATGTGTCCTGTTTGCTTTTAGCTTGTATTTAGTAACTTTTACCCATACAATTTCAATAAAAAACGCTTTTTGTAACATGTTGAAGATATTTTATGATAAATAAAATATTTGTAGGGTTGATTAGCAATGTTTCTTTTCATTATTTTATTTTTGCAATAGTTTTGAACAATGCCACACGCTGAAAAAATGTGAAAGTGTTGAATTTGACAAAATTAAAAATTTTCAGTATTGTTTACAAAAAAAAACAGTTCATCGGAATGCTTAGATTTTCATAAAATCATCTCTACATAGTGGCATAACCATTATGTGAAACTTTCATTGAATTCTGTTGGCTTATTGCGAAAGGGCGGAGCCTCGTTAAGAGTGTATTACATCAGTAAAGATACGTTAAGCACCGTTTAAGAACGTATAGTATAGTAGTGAGATACGTTTTTCAGCGGTTGCGATCATTTGTATAAACGCGACTGATAGATATTGAAATAATACAATCAAATATCACAGATATATAATGACAACTTTATTAAATACGGGATAATATGTTACCTTGAAATGCATCACGATTTTGTCCTCTTCCATCAAACATGGCATATCCTCCGTATTTACTGCAGTCCTGTACCGTGTTGTATTTACAATATGACGGGAAATGCATATGCTTTCACCGCAAACATAGATTAAAAAGCAATTACCTGTCAATCATAGCAGTATACGTGTGACGTAAATGTATGAATAAGTAATGATTCTAAATGAAATTACAACTACAACTTATCCTGAAGGATCAGTGACGGACCCAGGGGTGTTGCCCTTGTTGCCCGGGCAACACCCTTTTTCTGTGTCCAAAAATAATCTAGATTTTCCTCTTTTTCATATGGGATTTTCTTCTAATATCAACCATCCTGTGAACTATGATTTTCTATGGCAAACAGCAGTTTGAATATCTTGTATGCCTAAGGGTGCAGTTGCCCAAACAAGGAGTCCACTACTTGTACTCTAAACAATAGGGTTTTAATCCTCTTTTGTTTATATATTAGTAGGGTCTCCAGTCAGGTCAGTGGTGAAGGCTCAACGGACTGTCTACCTAATCGTATTGTTCTAATGTCACAGTGTGGTGATCACGCTGTCCGTTGAGAGAGGATAAACCATCTGTTGGAATAAGGTATATATATTAATTATTATTTCAAAGGTAGAGTCCATTTCATGATAGATCAACCTGTATTATCACCTGTGGTTTCATGTACACATGATCACCGGGAGTGGTTTGTTATACCTGTTAAAAAATGTAAATTTCAAAAATGTCAAAGACAATAACGGACAGCGTGATCACCAGCATCGCGTTATCAGGTGAATAATAACCAATGTAAGCATTAAAAGCCTGGCATGTATATATATATCCTTTTTAACAGGTGTTGCCCTTGTACATATGCATGCATACAGATTCAAAATAAAAGACAAACAGTCAAATCATAATTCATATTTATGACAAAATAAATCAATATTTATTTGCCAAAATGCTCGCCTAAACTACATGCACATGAAAGGCATGACACAAACATCAATATTTTAACCAAAAACCTACATTTTTTCCATTTTTTTCAGAGAATTTGTTAACACTCGCTCCGCTCGGCCATCACAAAATATAAATACTCTATGTTATGAAATATAACCTGGAATAATACCGCAAACTCAGAAAACTATTCTATGCCTTGTTCGATCTGTTTGACAATGGAAATAATCTCCGATACATTCTAGCTGTCTACGCTCGGCAGTGCTTGAACAAGTTTAGTATAACATCTTCAGAAAAAAATTGTTTGTGAGAGTAACGTCATCAATTTTTGAGAAAACGATGTAATTTTCTCACTCAAACCAATGACGTAACAATCAATACCTGCTCCCAAGAGAGGATAACTCTGCAATACGCAAAGACGGAATAATGTTAGGTGCTAGAAAGTAGTATACATGCACAACCGACATGACAATTATAATTTATTATGGGTTTTTAAGTCTTTTTCTGAGTTTAAATTTTGGGCAATACCCAAAATTAATTCCGACACAACTTTTATGGGAATGTTACAGCACACACGAAAAACCACAGTCGGTAGTACAGGGGCCTTTAAGGATCCTTGCCCAATTGCACTGTTCTTTTCCCTATATACAGTAACCTCTCCTTAAATGCGATTCTGATATCCATATATTTAAGCATTGGACTAGAAATTAACAGGTTTATCCTAAATTCTTTTCTGATGAGGCCTGCAGATCGAGAGTTCGAGACCCAGACAGGTCAAGAGTAAAACAATTGTCTTGAAAAGATCATCATTAGGTTTCGGCATCACAGTTAATACGCAGCACATGTGTTATTACTTAATAGAAAGATATTTTGTTTAAACTGTATTTATATATTTATTTTCAAAATTCAGAAAACATAATATAGCTGAGAAAAGGATTAGGAAATATTTGTAAAACGTCCATATATATAATTTGTCTTAGTCATAACTGGCACTGAAAGTATGATCAGTACAAGATGAAAGGGTTATGAATTGCACGAAACAATGGGAGAATGAGGGATGTTGATAACGTTGTATGTAGAAAAAGGAAAAATGACGAATCAAATCTGAGTTTTGAAAGAAGCTTTAACGGATTGTGTATTTTGATCAATTTTACCGAATAGATTTATGTTTTATACGTATGTCTGACGGAATTCTTTATGCAGGCGTTTTCAAATTTACAAAAATTGTTATATATCGAAGAATTTATCATGAGAGATGAAAGATACAATAGATTAATAAAATTATTGGTTAACTGTCACTCGTTGGTTACAACAAATGGCTACAAATGTTTTGCTTAGAAACATAAGTCACGCCGACAGAACACCGACCTCCGTCAGTGATGTAGGCGATAAACCCGTCAACCAACCAACCAACCAACCAACAACCAACCAACCAACCAACCAACCAACCCAACCAACCAACCAACCAACCATCCAACCAACCAACCAACCAACAACCAACCAACCAACCAACCAACCAACCAACAACCAACCATCCAACCAACAACCAACCAACCAACCAACCAACCATCCAACCAACCAACCAACCAACCATCATATGAAATTGTATAGTCTTATCATAATGTTAACATTTCTGTTAGTAAACCAATCAATGTCTATAATCCCTAAAGTAAGATGAGAATTACTTAAGTCGCCTGGTACCGCTACATTGTACTGTATAATAAAATAAGGTGACATCAGAGGCAAACAAAACGGCCATTTATTTGTTTTCTAACAGTCTTTACCGAAAGAAATTGTAAAACCTTGGATACCTCTTGTGATATTGACATACCATACTTGATTCAACCTGATCAGTAACAGCCTCACTTACACCTTTGGTCAGTGTGGTGACTTTACATGCACAAATGTACGCCCTATATATTGTGTTTACTAAGCAGGAAACGTCGTTATAAACGGTAAGAATGATCTGTAATATATTTTTTTTAAAACACGTGAATTGGGATTTCATCGAAATGTTGGAAAAATTATGAAAAAGTTTCGTGTGACAAAGCTGATGGAGAGTTTCCTGACGATAAACCACTTGATTAATCTTTGTTTTCCTTTCGGTGATTCGAGGTGTGCCCTGTTTAAACATATTTACGTTTATAATCGGTTTAAATGGCGTCAATGTTTCTAACGTGTCTCAATATGCTATAAAGTGTCTGTATGTTACATGGTATCTCAATATGTTACATAGTGTCGGTATGATACATGGTATCTCAATCTGTTACATAGTGTCAGTATGTTACACGGTATCTCAATATGTTACATAGTGTCAGTATGTTACACGGTATCTCAATCTGTTACATAGTGTCAGTATGTTACACGGTATCTCAATCTGTTACATAGTGTCAGTATGTTACACGGTATCTCAATCTGTTACATAGTGTCAGTATGTTACACGGTATCTCAATCTGTTACATAGTGTCAGTATGTTACACGGTATCTCAATCTGTTACATAGTGTCAGTATGTTACACGGTATCTCAATCTGTTACATAGTGTCAGTATGTTACACGGTATCTCAATCTGTTACATAGTGTCAGTATGTTACACGGTATCTCAATCTGTTACATAGTGTCAGTATGTTACACGGTATCTCAATCTGTTACATAGTGTCAGTATGTTACACGGTATCTCAATCTGTTACATAGTGTCAGTATGTTACACGGTATCTCAATCTGTTACATAGTGTCAGTATGTTACACGGTATCTCAATCTGTTACATAGTGTCAGTATGTTACACGGTATCTCAATCTGTTACATAGTGTCAGTATGTTACACGGTATCTCAATCTGTTACATAGTGTCAGTATGTTACACGGTATCTCAATCTGTTACATAGTGTCAGTATGTTACACGGTATCTCAATCTGTTACATAGTGTCAGTATGTTACATGGTATCTCAATCTGTTACATAGTGTCAGTATGTTACATGGTATCTCAATATGTTACATAGTGTCAGTATGTTACATGGTATCTCAATCTGTTACATAGTGTCAGTATGTTACATGGTATCTCAATCTGTTACATAGTGTCAGTATGTTACATGGTATCTCAATCTGTTACATAGTGTCAGTATGTTACATGGTATCTCAATCTGTTACATAGTGTCAGTATGTTACATGGTATCTCAATCTGTTACATAGTGTCAGTATGTTACATGGTATCTCAATCTGTTACATAGTGTCAGTATGTTACATGGTATCTCAATCTGTTACATAGTGTCAGTATGTTACATGGTATCTCAATCTGTTACATAGTGTCAGTATGTTACATGGTATCTCAATCTGTTACATAGTGTCAGTATGTTACATGGTATCTCAATCTGTTACATAGTGTCAGTATGTTACATGGTATCTCAATCTGTTACATAGTGTCAGTATGTTACATGGTATCTCAATCTGTTACATAGTGTCAGTATGTTACATGGTATCTCAATCTGTTACATAGTGTCAGTATGTTACATGGTATCTCAATCTGTTACATAGTGTCAGTATGTTACATGGTATCTCAATCTGTTACATAGTGTCAGTATGTTACATGGTATCTCAATCTGTTACATAGTGTCAGTATGTTACATGGTATCTCAATCTGTTACATAGTGTCAGTATGTTACATGGTATCTCAATCTGTTACATAGTGTCAGTATGTTACATGGTATCTCAATCTGTTACATAGTGTCAGTATGTTACATGGTATCTCAATCTGTTACATAGTGTCAGTATGTTACATGGTATCTCAATCTGTTACATAGTGTCAGTATGTTACATGGTATCTCAATCTGTTACATAGTGTCAGTATGTTACATGGTATCTCAATCTGTTACATAGTGTCAGTATGTTACATGGTATCTCAATCTGTTACATAGTGTCAGTATGTTACATGGTATCTCAATCTGTTACATAGTGTCAGTATGTTACATGGTATCTCAATCTGTTACATAGTGTCAGTATGTTACATGGTATCTCAATCTGTTACATAGTGTCAGTATGTTACATGGTATCTCAATCTGTTACATAGTGTCAGTATGATACATGGTATCTCAATC